ACATCCTCTTCCCCACCTGCCTCATCCTCGTCCTCATTACCACTGCCCAGGCTGGAATGAGGGCCAAGGCATGGGCTTGGACGTGGGGCAGGTGGGCGGGCAGTGCCAGGTGGGCCCTCAGAGCTGGGCTGACTCTCGATGGCTGAGTCAGCCTCCTCCCGCTCAGCCAGCACCTCATCGATGTCGGTCTCGCGGTAGCACCTCAGGGGCACTGTGTCCAGGTCCGTCTCGGAGTACTTGGCTGCTCGCCCCACAGCCACCCCAGAGCCCTGCCCTGAGCCCACCCCAGGTGGAGATGGGGGGGCCTGCTCTGGGGGCTTAGCACCTGCAGTATGCATAGGCATCCCGGTCAGGAGGTTATCCAGGTCAGCTCCCTGTCCTGATTCTGTTCTAGGAAGGAACTCTCCCCCACTGCCTCATATTGGCAGGAAGTTCTTTCACTGTCTAGCCACCATTTCTCCTGCTACAAACTCAGCTTATTCCTGGTGCCAGTGGAGCTCATTTCAAATCAAGTTCTTATCAAACAAATTTGAGGGGCCTGAGGGAGACCAGTCTTTTCTACTCCAAGGAATGACCCTGATATCCTGTCATCCCCTCCCTCCAGGGGCCCAACCCAGCCACCATCCCGCAACCCCCCATCATAACACAGAAGGAAAGACTGAGGCCTGGAGAGGCATTAGCTGACTCACGAGCCCAGGAAAGGAGTGGGGAGGTTTAAAGGAAGGCTCCCTACCCCACCTCAGCTGCTGTGCAGAAGGCTGGCCCTGTTCCCCTGGCCTCAGGTTCAGACCTTACCTGAGCTGGGGGGGTCCAAGGAGCCATAGAAGAACTCCCATTTGGCTCGAGCAATTCTCTGGGCATGAGAAGAGACTTCCCGGGGGGAGAACCAGGTGTCCCCCTAAGGCAAGGAGGAAGAGAGAGACACAGGCACCCAAAGATAAAGTCAGACATACAGAGACACAGAAATAGGATAGAAACCAGAAACACAGAAAGAAAAACACACAGGGACCAAGAAAGAGGTGCAGAGACACAGGGACAAACACAGAGGGCAAGAAAGAGACAAATTTAGGATAGACTGACGAATTCAGAGTGAACTGCCAACAGGCCCAATATCGCCAAGGGGCCAAGCCTCGCCCCTTTGCTGGGACTCTGGGGTTCCAGGGAGGTCACGACATACCTGGTTCAGGAGTCCAGTGTCAGCAGCTCCTCGGAATAGCGTGGCCAGGTGCTCAGAGTGGCCCCCCAGTCCATTGGGGAGAGAGGAGTAAAGGCCATCTGCCCCAACCTGAGGTTGGCCTGGTGGACCATGTGAAAGGCCCTGGCTGCCAGGCAGGGCTGAGCCTCTTCCTGCTGGGAGCGGGTCTGATGTGGATGCCTCCAGCCGCAACTTCCGATTGGAGCCAGGCCCAAGGGCTGGGGTGGGCCTGGGAGGAGAGACCCCACCCAGGTCCCAGCTCCGACTCAAGCCTCCAGGAGAAGGTAGCCCATTCAGTGGCCTCACACTGGCCTTCTCCACAAAACGGAATATGACCACAGAGCTCTGGGCCCCTGGTGGGGGCTGCCCAGTGGGTGAAGAGGGTGCCCAGGGTGAAGGAGCAACACGGGGTGAGGGGGGGCCACGCAGGGGTGTACAGGGTGCCGTCACACGTCCCAGTTCCCGGCCTCGGGGACCTGGACCTGCCACCCGCCGTAGCAGGGAGCCTGTGCTGCCATACATGCTGGCCGGGGGACTCTGGGGCACCGGGCCTTCGGGGAGCCACCGGCGTGGGCATCGTGGTGGGGAGATGGCACAGTCACCTTCCGAGCAGAAGCGCATGGCACCCTGGGCCATGCTGGGGCCGGGGGTCAGGCTGGGGGGGCAGGGATGGCGAGGCCAGGCGGGGAGTGAGGGGGCAGCATGCTCTTCAGACAGGCCTGCAAAAGAGGAAGGGGTGCAGGGAGTGAACTGCCAGGGAGTTGGATGGGCAGGAGAGCAGAGATAGGGAGGGAAAAGCTGGCTGGAGCAGCTGAGCACCAGGGGCCTAGCCCACCCTGGGAATCTGGCATCATTGATCCCACCCCTGGGGGTAATCAGGCCTGTTGCTTGGGCTAGTTCCATGGAGGCCTGGGGAGAAAAGAATTGTACCCTCAACAAGCCCTTGACTCCTCTCCTTCTGCCTGGGGGCTCTGAGCATCACCCTGGGAGGGGCCCTGAGCATCACCTCAACTATTTCAAAAGTTGAGGGAGCCTAGAGTCATTGTGGCATTTTGGAGTTACTTCTGGTGGGGGAAGGGGAAGGCTGTTACCCCATCCTCTGAACCAGGAGTCTCAGCTAACCATCACCATCCATACAGCCAGGGATCCCCCCATAGTCCCTTTCATGGAGGCCCCTCACTCAGGGAGATAGAACTCAGGACCCCTGGAAGGAGAAGGAGGGATGGCAGGGCGAGGGTTATATAGGGACCATGAGGGGCTGAGAGGCATAGGGTGAAGGGGAAGCCCCTAAACAGAGGCCCCTACCCCTAATACATCCATGCTGAATGGGAAAGGGACATTCTTGTTCTCCACCCAGGTACACACATTCATGAACACACATGTACATAAAGACAAATAATGTCAGTACACAGTTAAACACATTCATAGGCAACACTCTCCAGCACACATAGACACAGGCACACACACACACACTGCTCAAAGACACACCCTCATACACTCTCACAGTCATAACAAAAAATGCGTGTAATGGAAAAGCACATGCTTGTTTTACACACACACTGTCATCAAACGGGAACACACAAAGAGATACCCAGATATACACAGGGGCCCTCATTCTCCAATACACACAGAGACACAGGCATATCAGACACTCACAGAGACCTACTGGTCACAATCACACACAAATACAGATGCATACTCACATACATACTCAAGCAGAGGCACACACCCTCTCCCCCAACCCCCACCAGTCATTGGTCTCTGGGGGAAGGCTGCACCAGACCCCTCTCCCCTCTGCCCCCCAGGGGTATGACAGATCTTGTCCAGCCCAGGTGGGACCATAAAGGGGTAAAAGGGGCTTCTGGTGGCAATGCAGGGTAGGGGCAGAAGTCAGGAGCAGCAACCCTGCCAGGCAGGTTCCTGAAGCTCAGTCGGGGCCCACCTCCTCCTCAGTGCAGCCCGGGCTCAAGCCGCCTCAGTACTCACCGCTGCTCGCCAGGAGCTGGGGCCGAGGAGAGGCAGGGGAGAGGCTGGGCCCAGCTTAGCTGTGAAGGCAGCGCGGCTCCCGCTTGCTCCCGCTTGCTCCAGGCCCGCCCGCCTCTCAGTCCCTCCCCTTCCCCCCCTACGCGCGTCTCAAGCAGAGCTAATCCCCCCACCCACCCCCTCGCCCTCTCCTGGGGCCCTGAGCCCCGAAGGCTGCCCCTCCTTCTCGACGCTAGATCCCTGCTGGGCTCTCCCGCCAACCTGAGACCCGCCCCTGACAAGGGGGAGGACGTAGGGAACCCCCGGTTCTGTTCCCCAGACCCTCACGTGCCCCACCCCAATCGTGTCCACGTCCCTCTCGTCCACCGCCCCTTGAGGCACATGCAGGACCCAGCTGCACACGCCTGTCCCGCTCCAGACCCCACGCGTGTCCCGAGGAGGTTGCCACATGACCTGTTACATGCCACACGCACTCCCGCCCCCACCAGCACGCGGCCGCGCCAAGCACACGGTATAGGTGTCGACCAGACCCGCCCCCTAAACCCAGGAGACCAACATATGGAAGAGAGATCTAGGGAACGCCACCTCAAACCCTCTGGGGTTCTCAGTCTCGGACCCAGGAGACCCAACCCTAACCACTCGCCCAGGATGCAGCAGGAGGGATGTTAGTCGGACTTCAGAAAGAACTTGTTTGCTGCCTGTTAGGTCTACTGCCCGACTCGGGGTAAGAGGTTAGACGGGATGAAGTGGGACTGGAGGAAGTGGGGGACAGGCAACCTTTGTGCCCTTGGCCAAGGTAGAAGAGGGCCCAGGTATTTTAAGAAGGCGCCGCTAGAGCTATTATGGCAACTGCTTTCCTTGGGAATGCCAGGGCAGGCAAGTGGTGACCTCGGAAGGAAGAAGGGGTCTGTTCGGGCGGCCAGGGGGCGCGAGGACGTGCGAGGCGGGGGCGCGCGGGGCTCACCGCGGGGAGGGGCGGCGCGGGCTCCGCGTGGTGCTGAAGGGGACAGCGCCAGATTTGTCGCACTGCGCAGGCGCAAAGGCTCAAACAAAATGGGGAGGGGGAGGAGGCGCGCGGCCCGAAGTGGTGCGCGGCCCTGTGGTTCTACCTTAGCAGAGGTCGGCCCTCCCAGCTACTCCCTCCCCAAGCTGGCTGAAGAAGAGGGAGCAATTCCCTCACCCAAGTTGACCCTCTTTGATCCTTCCCGGCGAATAGCTTTTCCCTTCTCGCTGCATTGGGGGATGGGGGAGTTTGGAAGGGATTCTGGGAAAACCAGGAGGCCTGAGTTCTCTATCCCGACTCGCTTGACCCTGGACAAGGCGCCGACTCTCCAGGGCCTCGGCTTCATCTTTAAAGTGAAGCGCCCGAACCCCTGATGAGATCATGAACGGAAAGTAGTTTTCGCTATGAAGAGGCAGGTGAGGCGATTGCGCGAAGGGAGAGGGCAACCCTCCTGGGGGGTAGGGGGGCAGCTCTCAGCGACAGGGTTAGCCCTCGGCGTTTTTCACACCCTCCCCACCAGCGGTTGATGGGAAAGGCACTGCTCCGGGGGTTCCTCGGAGCCGACCCTGGAACTAGGACCTGGGGACGCGATGAGAGAGCAGCCCCGAGTCTGAGCCTAGAGCTCGGGGGCGTCACTGCCCCAGGGTGGGCCGGCCCCATATCCCACAACTAAGCCCCCAGGCCAACTGAGAAGCAGTACTCCCGGCGGGCTGAGCTGAGCACTAATTCTTCTCAGGACTGTAAACCTCCTGGGAAAAGGAAAGGGACCCAGCCGAAGATATAGTCCTTCTCAGCGCCCCCTACATCTCTCTCCCCAAGGTGTAAACCCACTCCAAATCATCCGGGAATGGAAGGGGCTGCATAGTCCTGTACTTCAAAATTAACCACAAATGGGAGGTTTTGGCAAGTTGGCTTGATGAAGAAAAGAAAACTCTAGCTTCGCCCATTCAATTCATTCTCCAATTATTGGGCACCTACTACGTGCCAGACAGAGGTGGAATAATTTCTCCCCTTTTTCAAAGTCGCTAAAAGCGACCAGAGGGCATAGGGTAGGACCCGAACTTGGAGTCCTGGCTCCGCCCCTTCCGTATTTGGCTTTGCCTGCCCTTCCCATCACCACTTCACTCAGAGGCGGCCACTGGCCCAAGACGAAAAAAGAAGCCAGTCTCTGCAGCACCATCACGTTTTCCAGCTTCAGGTCTCAGGCCATGTAGCTGAGGAGAGCTCTGATGTTACACCACCGGTCTGTTCCGCCCTCAGTTTCGGGATCCATCCTGAACGCTTTCAGATAGGATCCTCAGTGAGACGACACTCGATTGAATTGGTCTGTCCCTACAGCCCAAGGAGGCGGGTTCGCTGCGGCTGCTCAAAGGCCAAAGCGAGAAGACCTTATTGCGCACGCGCAATAGACAGCCGATGGAGCCACCAATGGAGCCGTCCGGAGGGGAGCAAGAGCCGGGAGCCGTCAGGTACCGAGCACCGGAGGGGCCGACAGAGAGAAGGATCTCGGGGAGCGAAGCTGAACCAGGGCCGGTTTGGGGGCCGCTTTTAGGAGGCGGGGCGCAGGAGCACAACGGAGGCGGACTAGCAGGTAACAGCGGCCCGGGGCCGCCGCCGCCAACGCCCCTTTACCCGCAGGCTCCTGGACCTGCCCTGGGAAGACGTGCTGCTCCCACATGTCCTGAGCCTGGTGCCGCTGCGCCAGCTGCTCCGGCTGCAGCGCGTCAGCCGGGCCTTCCGGGCACTAGTGCAGCTGCACCTGGCGGGGCTTCGCCGATTTGACGCCGCTCAGGTGAGCCAGGGGCTGCAGCCCCGCCCCCGTCTGGGTACCGCCCCCACCCCGCCCCCAGCCCAGCTCCCAACCCGGCTGTTTACCCTTCCGGACCCCCTTGGGCCTCCAGGAATGGCCGGGAAGCGATCTATCCAGCGGGAAGTATTCTCAAAGGGCGAGTACTGGGTATCAACTCAGAGGGCGCGTGGGGTCTCTCCTGGGAGGGCAGGTGGCAAGCCCCGAGGGCAGGCTGTTGCCGGGAAAGAACTCAGGGCCGGATAGGCAGCGCCTGCCCGGCCCCCGGGATCAGCTGAGAGTCGAGGTGCCTCCCCACCCGCAGGTGGGTCCGCAGATCCCGCGGGCTGCATTGGCCTGGCTGCTGCGGGACGCCGAGGGGCTGCAGGAGCTGGCGCTGGCGCCGTGTCACGAATGGCTGTCGGACGAGGATCTGGTGCCGGTGCTGGCACGGAATCCGCAGCTGCGGAGTGTGGCGCTGGCAGGCTGCGGGCAACTGAGCCGCCGCGCGCTGGGGGCGCTAGCCGAGGGCTGCCCCCGCCTGCAGCGCCTGTCGCTCGCACACTGTGACTGGGTAGACGGGCTGGCGCTGCGGGGCCTTGCCGACCGCTGTCCGGCCCTTGAGGAACTGGACCTCACCGCCTGCCGTCAGCTCAAGGATGAGGCCATCGTGTACCTGGCGCAGAGGCGCGGCGCGGGCCTCCGCAGCCTCTCGCTGGCGGTCAATGCCAATGTGGGGGACACCGCTGTCCAGGAATTGGCTCGGAACTGCCCAGAACTCGAGCACCTCGACCTAACCGGCTGCCTCCGCGTCGGAAGCGACGGCGTCAGGTGCCTGGGCCTGGGGTCGGTGGGATGGGAGGAGGCAACACTTAGCCTCTGGGTGTAGGCGTGGGCTGTAGTTGCCAAAAGGCAGAACTGGGGTTTCTGGATCTTTCTGCTACCACGGCACCCCGATTCTGAACAGGAAAGGCCTCTAGAATTGCCTAGACCAGAAAGCCCACAGTTTAAAAACTCTTTGAATCGCTATTTACACATTGGGAGATTTCACATACAAAGTCAGATTTCTGGCTTTTCTTCAACAAGTGGAGAACCTTGCAATCCCAGGTGGAGCCGAGCAGCAGGTTCCCTCTTTAAGAGACAGGAAGTCTCCGGTTCACTGGAGGCATTGAGTGTATGACCCCAACCCAGGCCCCCTCCCTCCTGCATGGAGGGAAAATGTATGCCCCGAGTTGGAGGGAGACAGGGGCTTGACTAACGACTCCATGCCCCTAGCCTCACCCCCCTCCTCCCCCAGGACACTGGCCGAGTACTGCCCAGCGCTGCGCTCACTGCGGGTGCGGCACTGCCACCATGTGGCCGAGCCCAGCCTGAGCCGCTTGCGGAAGCGCGGCGTGGACATCGACGTGGAGCCGCCACTGCATCAGGCCCTGGTGCTGCTGCAGGACATGGCCGGCTTTGCACCCTTTGTCAACCTGCAGGTCTGACCCACCCGCCAGTAGGGCACAGCTGGACTGTGTGGCGGGGGCTGGCTATGAACTGTAGGGAAACTGGACTGTGGGGGCCTCTGGTGAGAGACCAATGCCCTCCCCACCCTGGAGTTTCAAATAAAGAGCTTTTTACCCCTTCTTGCCTGGCGCTGCTGCCCTGTTGGAGACAGGGGATGTGAGATTGGGAGAGAAAGTCAGACAGACACAGTACGCCAGCACCCCAGCTCTGAGGCAGAAATGACCAGAGTGCACTCACACCTTCTTGGGGCTACCTTTACTGTGCCCATGGGCAGCTCCAAGAGGAGGTTAACAGTGTGGAGAAAGGAAGTACAGAAGGGGGACAGGAGTTAGGGCCGACCCTGTGTGGGGGTGTAGGGCTCCTGCATCCCTCTGGGATCTGAGACTAGAAGGCTCCGGCAGAGTCCAGTGAATGCCTCAGTGGAAGCGGTACTTTCTGGCCGGTTTGAGGTTGATATATGTGGCCTTCATCTCCTCAGCCTCAGGGTTCCGCACATCTTTGAATCGCTCCCCTTTGGTGCTCACTACCTGGTTGTCGATGTATCGGATCAGCTTCTTGGGGGCCTGTCAAGCAATCAGGCAGTGAGTCGCAGAGCCCAGGAGACAGTCCCACCCACTCCACACCGCTAGCAGCCCCAACCCTCTCACCTCCCTGGGAGCCATGGGCCGGTGAATCTTCTGATCCTCTGCACTATCCACCATCATGTACCTGCCAAAAACTGGCTGGGTGAAGTTCCTGCCACCCTGGGAAGACCCTCTAAGGCCCAGCTTAGCCCAGCCCAGACTTACTTCTGCAGGATGAAGGACTTCAGTTCATCCTTTTGGGGGCCTCTGAGGCGCCTGGGCAGGTCCTGCAGAGAGGGGAAGCCTGGTCTAGGTCCTAGGGCACCAGCAGGAGAAGCAGATAGGGAGAGGCTAGGGACGGGGGCTTAACACTAAGGTAGGATGTAGCTGAGGCTACATGGGCTGGGGGGCATCTAACAGAGGATACCTGGTTGGGGCCATCCCAGGCTGGAGGCCCTTCCTCTTTCCCCTCTACTAGCATCTGCACAGCTTCTTCCAAGTCCCCCCGAGCTTTGGCCAGCACCCACTGGGCCTGCTCCACCGAACAGGTAGGGAACACCTCCAGGAGTACATCCACCCCTGGCAGCAGCTCCTCCTCGGTGCCGGCTGCCTGTGGGCATAAATGTTGACAAGAGGCAGTACTCCCTCCTTTCCTGCCCCCTTGCTCCCTCATCGGTACCCTCCTCTAGCAGTACCTCATCTTGAGTATCCCCAGCAGCAGTAGGAGAAGACCTAGTCTCTTCTTTGAGCTTTTCGGGCCGCTGCAGGGGCTCTGGGGAGATGAGCACCTGACCTTGGACCTCAGAGCTCTGCGGTTGCAGGTTCTCTTAAAGAGGCAGAGAGAGCATCAGGTTTGCCAGGGCTTTGGGGGTTGGGGGTTATGAGCCACCCGAGTGCCTGATCCCCAGACTCACCTTTGTTCCTCGCACCACTCAACTGCCCTGAGAGCTTCTGCATCATGTCCCCTATTGTAACCCTAAAAAGACAAGGAGGGTGGTAAGAAGACAACTCTGCCCGCCCTCCACAATCAGCTAGCCCCCCTCCTCCTCTCGGCTCCAGCCAGGCCCCACCTTGGGATGTGGGCGAAACCAGGCACGTAGGCTTCCATCATCTCTGTGAAGGCCTCCATATCGAAGTTCTCCTCTGACGGGCCTGAGGGGCCCAGGTCCTCCAGGACCCCGAGCACATAGGAGAAGATGACCTCATCCAAGCCGCTGCAGGAAGGGGACAGGACAAGCCCTGGGTAGGATACTGGATACCTCCAGCACCCCACCTAGCCTGAGACCCCAGCCCTTGGCTTCACGGGGTCCATGAGCCAGACCTCAAGGCTTGAGGCCAGAGTATCCCACCCTCCCTCAGAACTTTGGGTTTCCATCTATCCAACAAGGGTGACAGGGACAGGATAAGAGGAAAGGCCATACCAGCAAATCATAATCAGCCCTCCCCCACCTCAGGAATAGCCAAGTGCTTCCCACCCCAGTCTTTCCATTGACCAGGGCCCAGAGTACGGCCCAGCAGCTCCAACCCTGGCCCTAGCATGATCCTTCTAGGAGAGCTGCTTCTACCTGAGGTCAGCCTCTGGGAGGTGCGTCTGGACAAAGGCAAGGAGGGCTGCACTGACAATCCTCTCCAGCTCCATGCTCTCTCCTCTTCTGAAGGGACACAAGATGTTGGTTTGTCAGGCCCTCTTCTGCCTGCCCCTACCCACTAGGCCCAGGGGCTGCCAGCTCCTCCCTCCTGCCCTGCTATGGAAACCATTTGTTGATGCTGCCCGTAGCTTCCAGCTCTCCAGCCCTCCCCCGCTCCCTCAAGGAGAGCCACAGCCCCCTCCCTGCCTGTCTCTCCACCTCCTCCAGCCTGAGACAGGGCAGGGCACTGTCTCAACAGAAGGCCTCCAGAGTGGGGGTGCCCCTCGCCCCTCCCCCTGACCTCTCCCCATCTCCCCACCCCATTCCCCAGCAGCAGGCCCAGACCCTCTGGCAAGAAACCAAGGTCTTGGAGTCACATGCCTCCTGGCTGAGGAATCTCATCATTGAGAGGGCCACTTGGCCCCCAAGTCCAACCACAAGTGCCCCATTGTCCAGCCCCCCAAGGAGCAGGCCTCAGGATAGAGCACAGCCCTTCCCCCACCCAGAGTGGGCCACCCACCCCTGCACAAAGGGGCTTTTCTGGCTCTGGGGCCCAGATAGAAGGGGAAGTCTTTCATGAATTCTCTCTTCCTGCCCAATCCTTGCCCTTCCAGCAGCTTGGGGCTATCTCCAAAGGACTTTCCATCCTCCTTCCCAAGGTCTACAGAGACCTACAAGATTTGCCTACCTCTCCAACCTCACCACTCTCTCCTCACTCACTCCACTCCTGCCCCACCAGCCTCCTTGCTGTTCCTCAAACTTGCCCAGCTTCTTCCTACCTACTCCCCAGACATCCACATGGCTCACCCCCTCACCTCCTCCAGAGCTCTGCTCAGATGCTGCCTCCTCAGAGAGACCTTCCCTGGCTAACCTACCGAAAATAGCTATTCCTCATACTCCCTGATCCCAACCCTGCTTTATTTTCTATATAGCATTTGCCACAGCTTAATGTTATTTGATCTTTATTTGCCTATTGTCTGTCCTCCCCCATAGAATGTAAGCTCCAAGAAGAGCGAGGTGGAGGGACTTTGTGTTATTCATTGGTATAGCCTTTACACCTAGAAAAACGCCTGCACTTAGTAGGTACTCAGTAAATACTTACTGACTTACTTCATTCCCACCTACATGCTTTTGGCTCTCAAAAGTCTGTATTTAGGAGTCAGGAACATGTAGGTGGGAAGGAATCCCATCATTCCCCCTCGGAAGACTCAAGAGTCACCTCAAATTCCACCTACTCCAAATTCATGATATCCTCCCCATCTGTGTACATCCCCTCTCCAAATATACATCTCTTCCTGTTTCACCGGTTGACACACCATTCACTCACTCAGCTGCCAAACCTGAAACTTGGGGATTACCCCTGATTTTGCCCTGTCTCAGCCCCACCTGCTGCATTCTATCAATCACCAAGTCCTAGATTCTATGCCCTTATTATTCTCCATTCTAGCAACTTCTCTCTAACTCCAGTCTCGCTTCTCCTCCCAAATCTTTCCCAGAATTTCTTAGGCTAACGTCAAGAGTTACTTTTTCAGGTTTTGGTCTAATTAGGTTGAACCATATGAGCTTGCCAATACTGCCTGTTTTTGAGAAGGAAGGAAGGAAGGAAGGAGAAGGGGAAGGAGGGGAAAGAAGGCGGGGGGAGGGGGAGAGGGAGAAAGGAAGAAAGGGGCAATTTCTTATGGTTTCACCTAATATTTGCCTTTTCAAGCAGCATCACTGTTGGTTTCTGAGGCACCACACTCTCCTGTTTCTCTTCTACTTCTCTGCCCCCTCTCCTCTACTGCCCTCTAAATGTGGCAGCAAAGCTCAGGCTCAAGGCTGCCCCTCCTCTGTCCTCACTCTGCACCCTCTCTCTCTAGATCTCCAGAAGATCTCATCTGGGCGCACATCTTTATGTACCAACTCCATGTCACCAATTCCTAAATGTCCAACCCTCCAGTCCAGTCTACTCCTCTGAGCTACAAAATTGTACATAGACCTCTCTGAAACTTCCATGTGGATGACTTAACATGTCCCAAACTGACATTCTCCCAAACCTTTTACTCCTCCAAGGCTGTCCTCAGTAAATGCACATCTATGCAGCCAGCTGTTCCTGCCACCGTCTGAGAATTAACCTTGACATCATCCTACGCCTTGCCATCCCATATCCAATCAGTCTCCAAGCCCTGATCATTATCTCTCAACACATCTACTTCTCTCCATCTCTGCTCCCACTCTGCTCCATCTCTTGCCTTAACTGCAAGAGCTTCTTAACCCTTCTCCCACTACCATCTTGGCCCCACAAACCTATTCTCCTCAAAGGTCATAGTTGTGTGATCTTTACCAAAAATCATGTTTTTCCTGCTTAAAATCTTCCCCCTGGGGCAAGCCCGGTGGCACAGCGGTTAAGTTTCCACATTCTGCTTCTTGGCAGCCTGGGCTTCGCCAGTTTGGATCCCAGGTGCGGACATAGCACCACTTGGCAAAAGCCATGCTGTGGTAGGCGTCCCACGTATAAAGTAGAGGAAGATGGGCACAGATGTTAGCTCAGGGCCAGTCTTCCTCAGCAAAAAGAGAAGGATTGGCAGTAGTTAGCTCAGGGCTAATCTTCCTCCAAAAAAAAAAAAAAAGTATAAAGGAGCCGGCCCTGTGGCCGAGTGGTTAAGTTTGCACGCTCCGCTGCAGGCGGCTCAGTGTTTTGTCAGTTCGAATCCTGGGCATGGACATGGCACTGCTCATCAAGCCACACTGAGGTGGCGTCCCACATGCCACAACTAGAAGGACCCACAACTAAGAATATACAACTATGTACCGGGGGGCTTTGGGGAGAAAAAGGAAAAAAAAAAAAAAAATCTTCCCCCTTCCCTTCAGATAAGTCCAGATTCTTTTTGTCGCCTTTGATTCAGGGCCTTACCCCTGCCTACATCTCTCCAGCCTCACCATGCACCAC